CGGGTATCTTTCCGCACACGCTTCAAAGAGCCAATAGACCACCACAGATGCGGCACTCCCTCCCGTCTGACGCTGGGCAGAAGAAGACATTTGATTTTCCCCTTACAAAAAAGGTGCACGTGCAATGGTTGCACCAATTTGGTTGATTTTGTAGAAAAATGATACGCTGTATTAACACAAAGGCTGATTTTCATCAACACAAGTTATTGGTGGAAGCTTGTAAATGCATAAAATTCTAGAATAATAACCTTAAAGTGTAGACATTGATCAATTTATCACCGATACAGCGCGGTTATTAAGCCAAAGACTAATTAATACGGTGCGTCAACTGACTTGAAAGCGACGCGACGGAGTCACGTGGGATGTAAGATGGCGCTTGATTTGAGGGAGATGAGAAAATTTTATGTTTTTATAATAACTATCGTGAGACATACTAAATTAACTAAAATTCGCGGGTTACTCACGTGTGAATGTTGAGAAAAGCTCTACTAGTTTCGAACCACAGAGGGGTTCTTCCTCATGAGCAGCGTGCGCGGACGCGGCGACGTCGCGCAGCCTACTGGTTAGCGTTGGCGCCGCATCGCTGTTGATGGTTGCGCTGCGGCGAGTCCAACGCGCCATCTGCCGGATACCACGCGCGTTTGCTGCCATCTCCGGCGGCGGCGCGTGTGACGATGTTGAGGCGCACGGTACGTTCACCAGTGGCGCGGGTAGTGGGTTCGATTCCGGGCCCGGCACAAAGTCTGTGTTACATATGACGCTTACTGTGTCACACTCCAGACTGGATACGCTTCGGACCGACGTAGTCTCCAAGCTCGGCTTCCACGCTGGTGGCAATGCCCAGCCACCATCCCTGTTGAAGCACGGACGTCGGCTAATCTCGATGGCCTCTCGCACTTTTCGCGGAACGAAGTATTTCTCCCTCGCTAGTACGGAGACCTTATCAAAACGTATGAAGTGAGCCGCATCCGTGCCGCAAACATGTTCAGCCACAGCCGATGCCTGGATGTCCATCTTCTTCACGCTACGTATATGTTCCTTTAGCCTGGTTGTGATGTTGCGCCGAGTTTCTCCGATGTAACTTGAGCCACAGTCGCAAGGTATAATGTACACACCGGGCACAGCTAGTGGATCCTTATCCTTTGGCGAGCGTAGCAGTTGTCTCAGCTGACCGGGTGGGCGGAAGATCGTCCTGATGCTATATTTACGTTGCAGCAGGTGTCCGATTCTGTCGGTTACTCCTTTCACGTTTGGTAAGAACGCTCATGAGGAAGAACCCCTCTGTGGTTCGAAACTAGTAGAGCTTTTCTCAACATTCACACGTGAGTAACCCGCGAATTTTAGATAATTGAGAAAATTTTAAATGTATTTTCTTTTAATGATATTTATAAATTAGGATAGTATTCATTTTTATGATATTTTGTGACCAGAACCAGGCACGTTGCATTCCTCGCGTGCCTCAAAGAGCAATAGACCACCACAGACGGGGCCCTATTAGTGCTGAAGTTCAGCCGGGGTTGCAGGGCAAGCGCAATAAGGCACTGCGGCCTCGGCTCATAGCAGGAGAAGTCTTTCTTTCTTTCTTCTTCTTTCTAGTCAGTAAGAGTCTAACTCTCCTTCCCGCCCCACCTTGGGAGACAGAAGACAGACAGAAGAGATGAGATTTCTACTCAGGTTGACAGTGCAATGGCATGATTGGGTCTAATAATATAACATACACGAAATAACAATTCAACTAAAGCTTCTTCTCTGAAATCGTCCCAGACATTGAATAATAAAATTAAAAGCAATTTTGAACATCATAATAAAAGTCACAAAGTTTCAGCATAAAATTTTCTCATCTCCCAATGCAGCATATTAGCGCACACTCAGATTGTCGTAACTATAGCGTTTAACGGATTAGTAAAGACATCAAACTAAGTTCGACGGTTCAAGTTGTTGGATCGTGGTGGTACTTACACTTGCTACTAACTGACATAGTTCTGGTTAAATACTTAAGCAAACTTTGACCCGTCATAACTTGAGGTATTTCACGTAATTGTGTTTAATATATATAAGTGATTATAGTTTAGTAGTTTACTGCTAGCGCTTTCATCAGGGTGCAAAGTAGCCTCTGTGTTATTTCTATCTCAGTGCCAAAGTTTTTACGTAAAAGAGTATTAACGTCCATCTTTAATCTAGTAACTAGGATTATATATTAGTCTTAAAATTTTGCGTTGTAAGCCTAACGGGAAGTCGCTGCTGCAAGGCTGACCTTGAATCTGTAATAGTACAAACTTGTGGAGGCTTGAGGCGTCCTCTAAGTATAGGTCCTTGTTTTCAGGATCAGGTAATATCAGTCTATCTGTGATATTGCACTGTTCGTTGCACCCGCAATCCGGGGTATACATCAGATGTTTTGGGCTCCATTTATAGATCCTTGAAGGATACAGCCAAAAGTATCACGAGATGGCAAAAGGATCTCGACAGAAGAAGGAGTAGAGAAAGCAACTACTTCATGTCTTAAAATGCATGGTGCATCATCAGCTTACAGCCCACTGCTAATCAAAGGCCTTTTCTCACACGGAGACGGTTTAAGAATTAATCACTTCGCTTGCTCAAGGCGAATTGGCGATTTCAAATTTAAAATTAGAAATGTACAAATCCAGATTTTGTCACTTTTTCTTCCCATTCCTGTAAGACAATAGTGTCTAAATAATCATAGAAAATGCACATAACTCGGCAAAATTCACATTGGTACTTGTCAGGTTTCGGACTCGCACCCTCAAGCATGAGAAGAAATTTCATCAAGGCGCCCGCTTTAATGAAATTCCATAATATTATCACCATTATTTTAATTTATAAGATTATTCTCCAATAGTAACAAAATCCATCGATCAATTTACTCCAGTCTAAACAAACAGGTCTAAAAGCGAACTCAGTCATTAGCTCATGTCGTTGTCCGCGCTTAACAAATATATAACTTTACCATTAGTCCGGCGTGCAACCCAAATGATTTATTAACTAATTAGTACCCATTCACGTTGAAAATTAGCGACAGTACAGTCACTGTAGGGTTGGAAACCGCAGACCGAATTTATAGAGGACCCAAGGTTTAATGGTTTCGGAGTTTCCTCTTAGTTGATATTTGGCTTTTGGAGAGGATTCGTTGTGGAGCGGAAGAGAAAAAGAAGATTTGATTAGGCTGATCCATAGTCCCAAAAAAAAGAAAGAAAATAGCAATTACTTTAACAGCTGGTCTACAGGCGGGTCCCAATAGGGCCAATGTTCAGCCAAGGTTGCAGGTAAGCGCAATGAGGTACCGCAGCCTCATCTTTGTGCTGGTGAAGGAATGGGGCTTTTTTAATTAGAAAAAGTCTGACACTCTTTCTCGCCTCACCCCGGGCGAGAGAAGTCATTTGATAATTTTTCCTTAACAAAAAAGGGCTGTAGAAGTCATTGAATGATTTTTTATACCCAAAAAGAATATTGCAATTACTTCAATCAATTATGCTGTCATAAACGCGAGAGGTAGTGAAATCTTATCTTTAGATCGGTAGTCAAAATTCACTTCACTTTATTGAGCTTCCCAAGTAAGTACCTAATATACATATGTATATAATTATTATTACATAGATTAAAAAACATCACTTTTTCTGTCCCTATATCCCTATTTATTCCTAAATCTTTAAATAGGTAATGGGCCTCCGGTAACCTTACCCACACTTAACCTTAATCACACGACGAAACAACGCTGTGGTTGTTTCACGCTGGTTTTCTGTGAAGCCGTGGCATTACTTCGGTCGAGCCGACCCGTTCGTGCCAAAGTTTGGCTCTCCCACACGTAAACAAATTCATTCAGTTAAACATTTTCTCCATCTGAACATCAAACAGTTCCACACCACTTTAGCAGTGTAGGCATTGATTTGTTTGACAACCGCTCATTACACATCAGCTGTGTTCATTGCTCGTTGTGTTGCACTTAATGATCTATTAGCTGATTGAGCAGGCAATGGAGTAGTAGTTACACATGTGCGTCTAGTACAATTTCTGACTATTGGGCCTTTTGCAGAAATTAAAATAGTTTTATTGAAAACTAGCAGACCACCCTCTGCTTCGCACGGGTACCCGACTACCCTGGTGTCAGTCATTTGTTTTGCAAACGAACGGCCACGGCGTCGAAAGGGTTGTTGATTACCGCTATTCCTCTTTACTTTTCTAAAGCTTTCTCTCGTAAGAACCTTCTCCTTATAATAACGAACATAACAAAAAAAGAATTAGCAAAATTGGTCCAGGCGTTATTGAGTTATGCGCTTACCAACACATTTTGCGATTCATTTTTATATATAAGAAGATAACGATTTACTTACGTGAATTACATGAGAAGAGCTTAACTAGTCGTAGTGTCGGCGAATAGGAGTCCTTTTGCGATTTGAAACTAGTTGAGCTTTTCTTAGTTCATTTACGAGAGGAAATCTTTATTTTCCGATAATTTTGTATGGCTCACAATAGCTACTATTAAACTAGTATTATAAGTTTTATATATATATGACGCAATTTTCTAGTTTCTGTACTAATGTTAAAAAATGCTTTACAAATTTATATGTGAGAGAACCACATTTCCGCATTAATGACCTGGCTCGATCGGACCGATATCATGACCTCACACAAAATTGACGTGAAACAGTGTTTGCGTTGTATTTGCTATATAAGTGAGGTTACCGGAGGTGGAATAAACCCCAACCCCCGAATCTGTATAATCCTAAAAAAAGGCCGTGAATGACCTTGCAACTCCCAGAAGTTGCGGGTGTCCATGGGCGGCATGCTTATCATCAGGTGATCAACGCTATCCCATATGGATCAACTGTATCCTATTAAGAAATTGATTATCAAAAAACCTACTAACCATGCCCGAAACTGTACTCAAAAGTACGTATATTTGATAACCAAAGTTTTATATTCAAGGACAATGAAAACCTACTTTATATTTACAAAACCATCAATGAAATAAAACCACAAAATTGGTATACAATATTTTGAATTACATAAAATACAAAAAACAAACGTCAGATTTAGACTGTACCGTGAGAGTCAGAGTACACAGTCAAAAGGTATAAGATCGAAAATTTATCTAAGGTTAGCGTTGATCCAGGTGAGGAATGAGGTTACTCTAGTGAACACTGATGGAGAACTGGCCTGGCAACCCTCACTGGGGCCGAAAGAAACCACACCGACCTGGGAAAAGCAAAAAAAATAAGTCAGAAATTTCAAACAAAATTTTCTTACTATTTCATCATCATCAGCAAAAGCCTCTTCTCAAACGGAGAAGATTTGAGCTTTAATAACCACGCATATTCAAAGCGGATTGGAGGTTTCAAACTTATAATTCGAAATTACAAGTCACAGGATTCCTCAAATGTTTTCCTTTACCGTATATCAGTTGTGTCGAAATAATCATAGAAAGTAACCAGTTACTTATTTTTTATGATTATCGTATATGTCACATATGTCGGATATGTCACATTGGGACGCGCCAGGTTTCGAACGGCCACCACGACTCTTTTTTATCTTTTTCTTCTACTTAACTTTAAAAATTAAGAGACGCGGCTTACTCTTTTGCTTACAACATTCATTCAAAAGCATTTACCATAATTTTGACCGTAAGGTCAATATAAAAATCTGACACAATTGAAAAAACTTACCAAAATCCTTTTATTATTATGTAACACGGTCAGTGGGCCACCGGAGTCGCCGTCACAAGTTCCTTTACCCCCGGTACCAGCAGTGCAAAGATGGCTGCCATCTATGGTGATCTTGTAACTTCTCTGACAAACTGCGTTCGTGATGATGGGCACCGATGTCTGATGAAGAGCCGTGGTTGGCGGGTAGGAGTTTTGAGCTGTGAAGAAAAATAGAGAAAATATTTTTAAAAGCTTTTATTAATGTTATTTTGTTACATACAGCCTTTTGTTTAACTTGCATGGGAGTGTAAATTTGTAAGACTAGCTTTTGCTCGCGACTCTGTTCGCGTGGAATAGTGACTTCCGGCAAAACTTTGGTATAAAAACTAGCCTTAGTCCTTTCTCGAGTTCCAAACTATGTTCCGTACCAAATTTTACAGAAATCGGATCAGTAGTTTAGGCGTGAAGAAAAAACAGACAGACAGACAGAGTTACTTTCGCATTTATAATATTAGATGGGATATTGAAACCTTACAAAATAAAAATGTTGAAGCAGGTCTTTAATAGTTTTTATGACCATTAATCATAACCGGTATTATTATACTTTTTTATGGAATAGGAGGCAACGAGATCACCTGATGGTAAGTGATCTGCGCCACCTCTTGCAAACCTTTTGAGGCACAAAATCCATAAAATTGTCTCTAAAGTCAGCAATCTCGGGACTTATTGATAGACCCTGACCTTATTTGCCATCCAATTAAGCTTTATTAACACGTTCGAGTTTGCCAGGTTAAGTGCAATGAGGGACATCGACCTCTGCTTAAAGCAAGAGAAGTAACGCGGGCGTTTTGGTCAGAAAGAGTTTAACATTTACTCTCTCCTCACCCTGGGCGGGAGAAGAAGTTTGATGATTTTCCCCAGACAAAAAATCGCCACTTAGTTCAATGGTGACCTACATTAGTTAAGGATTTGACTTCAATTGTTTTCTGTTATAAGATTTACAAATATGTACACATCAAAATGCTGTTCCGTAATCATTTGTATTCTTATAGCATGAAGATGACCGAACCAAACCGACGTGCCCACTCCGGACTACATTCGATGGCGTGTTTGGTGGTACAACTCAAATTTTCAATGCAATCAGCGGCTTTCTATTTGTCCTTTTAGCGTGATGTTACATGTATAAATAACTTTGTACTGGGATCTGTCTATTATCAGTGACAGTACTATTGTGGCCAATAAGCCTGATATTGTGGTGGTGGACCGAAAGGAGAGGCGTGCAATGATTGTTGACATAGCCGTCCCACATGACGAGAACCTTGTGAAAGCCGAGAAAGATAAACTGATTAAGTATATCGACTTGGCACGCGAGGTTGTCGACATGTGGGAAGTGGACTCAGCTATCATTGTACCGATAGTCGTGTCAGCCAATGGCTTAATAGCCAAGAGCCTCGACCAACATCTTAGGAGGCTCTCGTTAGGTGGCTGGATCAAGGGCTTGATTCAGAAAGTGGTACTCCTGGACACGGCTCGTATTGTCAAGAAGTTCCTTTCTCTGGAGCCCTGACCGCCGGTAGCATGGACCCAGTTCCCGATATCGGTGGGACACTATTTTTATATTTTTAAATGTTTTTTATTATTTATTTTTAAGAAATATTTAAAAATGTAATTTATATGTTTACATGCTAAAAAAGAATAATATGGTATCGAAATAGAACTTATTACTAAATTTTAGTTCAGATTTTGTTGCTTCAGTTTTATGTACTTCGTGCTGGCAGAATGCGCTTGTAATATTTAGAACATACAGCTATCAAAATTTGGCACTACAGTCTTCGAAAACTTCAGTACTTCAGTTCTTCAGCGGAGTTTCGGTGTAATGGATAATTGACGTGTTACTTGACCGATTAACTTTAATTAAGTGTAAGTAATTATTATAACAGATTACGGTTCTTATGGAGAGAGGTATGACACACACTACATAGATAAAGGTATCTCTCAAGATGGGGTAGGATCTTGTTTTTTTTTGAGGTGGGCGTTTTTCTATGGTCATGTCCACCCTAGATGGGGCCAGAGAGAGTGTTAGACTTTTGACTAAAAATCATCCCGTTCCTTCTCCTGCTCCGACAAGCCGAGCCCATTCCACATCCGCCCATGCGCTTGTGCCACAGAAAATTGGGCTGGCTAAAAGTTCATGTTGATAATATAATGTTTGGCCATGTTAATTCTGCAATGTATAACTCTTTTTTCTCCAAATAAATAAAATAAAAATAAGTTTTGGCGAAATGTGTCAACGACAAATACAAATAGACGGAATTATTAATTTTTTTTACGCTTTTCGGCAACAATGTATATAGAACCTCATGTATATTCATTTAAAACTCAAATGTAAAAATAAAAGATGTACCTACATAAATTTTGTAATAAGGAAGCAATCTTTCCTGTAAATAAATTAAAAGGTCACTTCTTAATATATTTCATAATTACAGAATTCATATGAAATCTACCTGTAGGCGAAATTACCGTTTTAACATTTTTCATTTTGTATTTACTACCTTCGTGGGCGAGAAATTACAATTAAGCATTAAAGTACATATTTTATTTGATATTCAAAATTCAAATCATAGTATTTCTTCAATCAATTAAGTCATACATTTTAAACATTAAGATTTATTATTAAAAAAAAGTTTCCTTACACTATATTTTTCATTCGTATCGTGCTTATAAATATGAGCTATAATATCGTTTTTAAGCAATCATAGAAAGTGGCAGAAAGTGGTAGTGCAACTCCAAAAACGTCATATTAGTACTTGACAGATTGACCCGCAATCTCATGCATGAGACGCGGCCGCCTTAAACTTCAGGCTATCACCACGTATCGTATATTTATCTTAATATGAGTTTTATATGCTAAAGAATATAATATAGGATAACTAATTACTGTTATCATAATATAAAATTTGGCCAGATTATTAAAATAATTTCACAGAAACAGATCACACAAAATCAGCCAATAGTGATTTTGATGGGTGATAGTACAGGAGTAAACAAGCGGGATATAACTGATGGTATCAACACCTTATTAAGACTAAACACAGGGAATATAATGTTATGTGCATTCCCATATGCTGACACTTTGTCACAAAGTGAAAATAGTAGAATTCATCATCTGAACAATTTAATATTTTTTTTGACCTCTTGTCATAGTGACAAATTATCATTTTTTGACACTAACAAATTTGTTAGTGGTTTTAAGTTGACCCGGGATTATATGTATATTCCCAGGAAATGTAAATTATTAATTGCTAGTTTGCTAGCAAATAGTATTAATTTATTAATAAGTAGTTTTAGTGACAAAACTATATTGATTAGATAATCTAACAATATAGAGATTAATTGTACATACAATAGTACGAAGGAGGCTCCAGATTTATTGACAAATGTGGATAGCACTCCGGATAGTATTCTTTTAAACTGACTTCCACGACAACAGAAGATAACCAATTAAATTACTCAAAATCCACATTCATTGAAAAGGTTTCTTCTGGCAATATTATTAAGCATCAATTTAAATTAAAACATAAAACTAAATTAGATAACTTGTTGTCATTGTACAGTCAAAATATTCAGGGCTTATCATCAAAATTCCTAGAAATGGAATTGTTTTTAGAGAAATTCCAATATGATATTATTTGTTTAACTGAACATTGGTTAAAAGATTATCAAGTAGAAACAATTAACTTCAATAACTATTGTGTTGGCAGCAATTATAGCCGCCAAGCAATGATACATGGTGGTAGCCTAATTTTAGTAAAGAACTCAATAAAATATAAAGAAAGACAAGACATTGCTCTGCTGTCAATTGAACACACAATCGAGTTGTCCTGTGTTGAGCTGGATAGGCATATTGTAGTATGTGTTTATAGGCCTCCTAACATACAGAATCTAAATATTTTTCGCTCTGTAATGGAAGATGTACTGCGGAAAACATGTTCTAGTAGTAAATGTACAATAGTATGTGGCGATTTTAATGTTGATCTCTTAGAAAACAATTCTCATTGTACAAACTTGTTAAGTCTCTTTCAATCATTTGATTTGTCTAATGTTTTCCTTGAGCCCACCCGAGTAACATCCACCTCGGCAACTTGTATAGATAATATTTTCTGTAATTGTGATTATTTACAAAGTGAAATTGTAAATAGATTACCATCTGATCACAGTGGGCTCACAGTTAACTTTAATACTATCACAACTGTGCCAAAAAAGGAAATATTGTTTAGACAAATCACATACAAAAAAATTTATTCATTAAATAATAAGCTAAAACATGAATTATGCAGCCAAGTACAAGACAATAATTGCCCGAGTGAGATATATGCTAATTTATTATCCCTTATAAAAATACAGTTCGATAAACTATTTCCTTTAAAACGTAAAAATGTTCAGTGTAAATTTGTATTCTGTGACTGGGCTACACCAGGTATTCGTATAAGTAGAGACAGGTTATTTGAGCTATACGGCCTGAAACCATTTAATAGTAGCGAGGCTTTTCGCAGACACGTTTCCAAATATTCAAAAATATTTAAAATAGTATGTAAGCATGCTAAGTCGCTCCACATTAGTAATAAAATCAGGACCGCGGAAAACAAAATAAAAGCTACCTGGAATATAATTAATAAAGAAACAGGTAGAAATAAATCACAAAACAATGAATTTAATTTAAAAACCGAAAAGGGATATACTAGTTCAAATTCGTCAGTTACCCAGGAATTCGAAAGATTCTTTAAAAATATTCCTCTTAAAACTACGGAAACGTTAAAATCATCTCCAGCTCTTTCTGTCGAGCTTCTCAGGGGTAACGTCAAAGAATGTCCTTCTGACTTTAGCTTTCAATACACAACCCCCCAGGCAGTAATAAAGGCGTTCAATGAGATCAAAGTAAAGTCAACTGAAGATCTTTGGGGAATGTCTGTTCGAGTGTGCAGGTCGTTTATAGAGACTATTGCGCCGCACTTAACTTTCATTTTTAATAAAAGTGTAGATCAAGGGGTTTTCCCGGATTTAATGAAACATAGTAAAGTAGTTCCATTATTTAAATCAGGCGATAGTACAGAACCTAATAACTATAGGCCGGTCTCTATTTTGCCAGTGCTCAGTAAAGTGTTCGAAAGGTTGATGCTTACTCAAATGCTGCGTCACTTTAACACGAATTCTATTTTCCATGACCATCAATACGGGTTCACCAAAGGACGTTGCACTACGGACGCAGGAGTATCACTTATAAAACAAGTTTTCAACTCGTGGGAAAAAGCACAGGATGCCATCGGAATATTTTGCGACCTTTCAAAGGCATTCGACTGTGTTGAGCACGAGACGCTGTTACTGAAGCTAGAACACTACGGCATTCGGGGGGTATCCCTAGATTTATTGAAATCATACCTTCAAGAAAGAAAAATTAAAGTACAAGTCAACAAAGTTAACTCACTGGGTGCTAGCGTATCTATGGGCGTACCGCAGGGCTCAATATTAGGTCCTTTTCTATTTTTAGTTTATGTGAATGACCTGCCCCATTTGTTCCAAAATGAACCGCATATGGTATTATTCGCTGATGACACTTCATTGATTTTTAAAATAAATAGACGAACAAAGAAATATGACGAAGTTAATAATGCCTTAATGAAGGTTCAAAATTGGTTTACAATAAACAACTTACTACTAAATGATAAAAAGACTAAATGCATTAGATTTATTTTACCAAATGTTAAAAGAAACGTATGTGATGATATATTATTAAATGATCAGAAACTAGAATTTGTAAAAGAGACTACTTTCCTGGGGATCACTGTAGATGAGAAGTTGCAATGGGGGCCCCACATCAGGTCTCTAGCAGGACGATTGAGCTCTGCAGCTTATGCTGTCTGGAAGATCCGACAGCTAACCGATGTAGGCACGGCAAGACTAGTGTACTTTAGCTACTTTCACAGCATCATGTCGTATGGATTTCTGTTGTGGGGACAGGCATCCGACGTTGAGTCTATTTTTATCTTGCAAAAGCGTGCCGTCAGAGCTATATATAACTTAGGTCGTCACGAATCTCTCAGAGAAAAGTTTAAGGAGATCAACATTCTGACCGTACCGAGTCAATTTATTTATGAAAACATTATGTATGTTAGGAAAAACCTACACTTATTTGTAAAGGTATCTGACAAACATGATTATCATACTAGACATAGGAATAGATTGAGTCAGCCTTTATTTAGATTGGCAAAAGTGCATAAGTCATTTCTGGGTTTCTGTGTTAAATGTTATAATAAAATCCCAGTTGAAATTCAAAATCTAAATGAAAGCAAATTTAAATTATGTATAAAGAAACATTTATGTAAACTAGCATACTACAAACTAAATGATTATATACAAGATAAAAATGCTTGGAGGCTAGCTGGTCCTACTCCACAGGATGTTTAGAGGAATTTTTGATTTTAATTATTAAATTGTACACTATGTTGTTAATTGTTGATGAACTTCTAAGTTTTTGTAAATGTGAGTACCCTGTAACCTATTATAATTAAGTAAGACTTGTAGAATATAGGTACTTGTGTCGGCTGGGAGCTGTCATGCTCACTTAGAGGTCTCATTGGCGGTGGCACGGCCACTGGATCACCCAATTCCCTATAATATGGTTGAGTTGGGCGGTGCTGGTGTACGTGTCATGTTCGTGAACGGGCGCCGCCTATTGGGACTGGTCATCTCCAGGCTGTCTAAATATGTTGTCCTTGAGGTTCACTTCTTTTTCGTACCTTTTGCCTGAACATTAGTGTTACATTGTTCTCACATATCAGAACCAATTGTTTGTCTTATTGAAATAAATGATTTTTGACTTTGACTTTTGACTTTTGAATAGACTTACATACATTTACATTATTATATATAAACAGTATATAATATGTAAAAAATAAAAAAATACGTAAGTAAATTAATTGGATATCGCGAGTTTTGCCTTGGGGTGTTAATTCTCCTTTTGTTTTAGCTCGTTTGTGTACATGTTTGGTTCACAAAAGGCCTTGTTGGGAGCCTCCCCGTCCCTTAACAAGGCCGCCATTTGTTCCAACCATAAACCCATAGAAAGGCACTGTTCTCGAATTCACATCAAAATGAGGTGGTTTTGCTCAATTGGTTAGTATTACATGGTTGTAAATAGATTAATTATAATTTCTTTATAGTTTGGAGAAATTATTACGCTATTTCCGAGCCAAATTAAAACCGAGTTAAAATTTTAACCACTTAAGTATTGTATACTACAAATTTGGCATGGAATGGATTTATCATAAAAGATATAAGTAACTGATATTGGATAAGTACTTAATAACAGTTATTTTTACTAATACCAATAACAGGTATAACACAGATGACATATAACAGGTAGGTAAATTACTGTGGGAGCGCAATGCTTCAGCACAAATAGATTGGCTTCACTGGAGTGATACCACGGCTTCACAGAAAACCGGCGTAAAATAACCATAGCTTGTGTTTCGCTTTGTGAGGTATAATTACTAAAATCGAGGTAAAATTTGTAAGTTTGTATGTAGGTGGTAATTTTTGGAAAATTCTTTCACTGATAAATAGCTACAATGTTCCTGAGTGCTATAGGCTATAATACATCACGCTACGATCAAATGGAGCTGAGCAGAGGGTGAAACCGCGCGAGAGTAGCTAGTTTAAAATAAATGTTTATATGTGTAATTTTTTAGTGTAATGTGATGAAAATATCGATATACTTGGAACAGATATCACGTAAATTTTAGTGTATTTCGCGTTTGATTGAAGTGCCTATTCCTACCTATACGAGTAATTGTGTTAATTGTTGTGTTTATCAATTCAACGGAAATCAAATATCATTTTGTACATTCAATTTATAATTACTCACTCATAATTTAATTTATGACTGTTAACATTTTGGTAATGTAGTTCAGTATTGATTTTACTTAGTACCGCGGTTTTAGCTGTGGGTGACCATAAATTAGGATTTATTTTTTCCACACTCTTTCTCTTCTTGTGGGTGAAAAAAGTTCAGATGAAAGGCATACAAGGAAAATAAGTTTAATTTGTTTACTGGACCTGTCTACGATAGTAAATGATTTTTATTTAGTCGCTTAAAGGTGAAAACTTGTTGTTAGCAAATTTAATATTAAATTAAGTAATTAAAATGTATCATTAGTCTGTAAGCTTTCCTAAGAATAAATAAATAAATAAAATTAAATAATTAGGTAAACAAAAAATCAAGAGAACCTATGAAATCCTAGAGAAAATAAAAAAAAAGCAAAACAAATTTCAACAATATTGCACAAGTTATTAAGATGATGAATTATTGTAATGTATAACATAATTAATATATCAATAATTAATATCTTATCTATTTCGGAAACAAAACAAGTTTATCTTTGTTAAACATATTATTTAAAGATAACGATGATAATATGGATACTCGAAAATCTGACGGTTTCCATTTTGTGACGTAGGCATATTATATTAAGTGTACATAAATGTATACCTATATATGTATGTATTAGGTTATACATATGTAAAGAGATATGGCATTATTTTTGATTTTTGAAGTATTTTTTTAATAAAAATGTTGCCTTACTGTAGACATTTCTCCTGTGTAATGAGTGCGTTTATAAACATTCAAATTCACAAAACATCAATTTTTGGATCACACAAAGTGTTGTTCCGTGCGGGAATCGAACCCGCGACACCTTGAGGAGCAGCCAATTGCCCAGCCACTTCTTATAGAGTATTATCGATTTTATACAATAATTTTAATGAAACTTATGACTGTGTTGAAAATTAGATTAACATGAATTAACTGAGAAGAGAAAAGCTCAACTTATTTCAAGTCACACTGGGACTCTTATTCACGAGCAGAGTACGCGTCGTAGTATATAAGTCGTTATTTTTAATAAATGATGACCATTGATGATTAATGTTTGCCTTAGAAAGAGTAGCAAAGAGAATCTTAAAACGACGTATCGTGTTTTTAAAATAAGGCTCTCATACTGGCCTTAGAAAATATACAAAAAAGGAATACTGTCCCTGTATTCAGAATTGTTCCTAAAATGACCGTTATGTTGTTTTGTTTAAGGGCTTTTGTATGTAAATATTTCACAATTATTTGATCAACATTATCACCTTACACTCAAATATACCCAAATTAGTGCGTAGCGGAATGAGCTCCGGCGAGATCTCATGGCTGAGTGGAAGCGGCGACTGTCGCAACCGAGGGCCGGGCACGCTATTATAGCAGCGGTAAGGCCCCTCTTTGAGGAGTGGCTTGAGAGACGCCACGGCGTCCTCACCTTCCGCCTGACGCAGGTGCTTACCGGGCACGGCAGCTTCGGTAGGTTCCTGTTTCGGATCCAGCGGGAGGAAACGCCCGAGTGTCGTCATTGTGAGGACCACCTAGAGGATACGGTGGAGCATACGGTAGCGGTATGCCCTGCCTGGGCTGAGCACCGCCGTATCCTCAGGGAAGTGATCAGCGGCGGCGACCTCTCGCGCCCGGCCTTAGTCGAGGCCATGGTGCGGAGTGCGAGGAACTGGGACGCCGTCTCCTCCTTTTGTGAAGCAGTCATGCTCGCAAAGAGAGAGGCGGCCCGCGTGAGGGAGCAATCCTCCTCCTCACGCCCCAGCAGCCGCAACTGGCGACACTACGGGCGTCGGGGATCAAGGGACGATCTCCGGCCACCGTAAGCATGGGCCTGCGGTCGGCGAGTAAGGGCAGCTCGCTGCCCGACCACAACCAGGCCCGAGCGTACGGCGCGTAGCGTTCCGCGCGCGCCTCAAGAGCCATTAGACCACCACAGACGGGGCCCCATAGGGCTGATGTTCAGCCGGGGTTGCGGGGTAAGCGCAATGAGGCACCGCGACCTCGGCATAGAGCAGGAGAAGGAACAGGGGGGTTTTTAGTCAGTAAGAGTCTGACACTCCCTCCTACCCAGCCCTGGGCGGGAGAAGTCATTTGATGATTTTCCCCTCACAAAAAAAAACACTCAAATATACTAACCGTATATCACATTCTAACTAGTAGATTATATTTTATATAAAAATAAATATTTAATACATACCATCAGTAGTTTTCCCGAATCCAGAGATGACTCCTGTTGTTCCAGCGAAGTTTTGGTTTACATCGGCTGTCGTCGGCAGTGGGATCACTTGAATTGTATCTGAAAAATAAATTTTAGTAAGCCCGTGTCATCAGTGGGTCCAATCGATTTCTTTTTGTACAAAAAACTCTTTAACACTATGTCATGGGTGCGTTTAAAAACATAAACAAGTTCACATACATATCAAACCCAGACCCGGAAACCATTGCCAACCCGTTGCCAGCCCATTCTCATGAATAAGTATATTTTAATTAATAAAATTCAAAGTTTAAATGAAAATTTTCGTTTTCTTTCAATTTATTTCAATATGTCTTTGAGAAACAATTTTTTCTTTGGATTGGATATGTAGTCAAGTCTCAAAATATACAAAAGTTTAAATCTATGCAGAATTACAGTTGTATGCTAAAACTCATGGTGCTACTTGCGAATTTGAATCAAGTGATGCAGCCTAAATTGATCACATCTTTCTTATGATAATTACTTTGAAAGCCAAACAAAATATAGGGCGAAGCGCTAGCCACTCCATAGTATAAAACAAAATCGCTTTCTCTTTCTCTGTATCCCTATGTATGTATGCTTAAATCTTTGAAACTAGCCAATGGATTTTGGTGCGGTTTTTTAACAGATAGAGTGATTAAAGAGGAAGGTTTATACGTATATTTAAACTCATAAAATAGTGGAGAAATTTAGTATCAGTATTGCACCCATGCCAAGCTGGGGAGGGTCGCTAGTAATTTGTAATTGGAAATTAATGGATTCCTCTTTTCGTACATTTCGCAAGCCAATCACGGTACCTCGTAACTTATTCGCGTAATAAAAACAATAATATTTTAATACTTGAGCAATAAAATTGTCGTAAAACCTGTGTACCGTAGTTTCTGAGTTGTACGTGAAAGAAATTACAATTCCGACCTGTGCGCTGCGTACCCGAAAACTTTTATTGTTTCCTTACTTTCTTTTTTTGTAAATATTTACTATGCTTACACATAAAATGTACCTACTACGTATCGAATATTTTGTGATTTTTATAAATATAATTCTCCAATAACATGTCAAGCAAGCGTGACAAGAGTATGGTATCTCCAATCTCTTTTAAATCCCATTCTAAAATCCTTATTTTTTTTTTATTTATTTATCCATTTATTTTCTTAATCCCCATAATGCCAGTAACGCACTTGTAACTCCTTCGTTATGCGGATGTCTCGGGCCGCGACGATTGTCGACCATTCAATGACAAGTATGGTCGTTTACTGACTTAATCTATAAAAAAAGTTTGGTTCCTTCGAAACTTTTCAGTAATTAAGATACTGAGATTTTTGGTATAAAGACTAAACGCTTGATCTTTGACATTTTTGGTGTGGCCAGAAGACGAGTTTGATGATTCAAATTCGAACCGTAATTCATATTGGTTCGCAATAAAATAAGAGAAGAACGTATTGTTTTTAGTCAGTAAGATTCTTCACCCTATCCAGGACGGGACAAATTTGATGAATTTCCCCTATCAAAAAATAAAAAGAACTCATATAGAATTAAATTCATATGTAGGTAAGCCATATAGGTATAAGTTTTTTCTGTTTGAAAAAATTGAAATTTCGATTGTCGATTCGTCTTCACTATAGATATTATGTTGTAGGTATTATCCGAAACTTTAACCACACAATATGTTTGTGTTGTATGTCTTGTCCTATTGAAATGTTATCTGAATGTACTTGTGACATTCATTCGAGTGTTTCGCGTCACTATTGCGAAGTTGTGTCGTCATTATTTATAATCAGAATTACTTTGAACTATTATTACGTAACAACGGTTATTCCCCAAAATTTTTTTTCAACTTTGCCCCACTCTTGGATGTTCTCCTGTGGTGTGTGGTTATGGGTGCGTTTACAAACATACAATTTCACATACACATCACTCCCAGACCCGGAACAACAATTTGTGGATCACACAAAGAGTTGTTCCGTGCGGGAAAGGAACCCGCAACTCGTTGCGCGGCTGCCAGTTGCAAAGCCACCACGTCAAACGTGCAGTCAAAACAGCCAAAAGTTTAACAAACATTTGGCTGTAGTAGATATCCAAAGGTTGCTTTGTCGGAAGGGGGATTTGCGAGTGCAAGTGCAGTCAGAGTCTAATACTCCCTCTCGCCCAAACCAGTGCGGGAAAAGTCATTAGATGTTTATCGTAGATTTTTACTTTTGTATTATCGAGTATAATTCCTTAGTGAGCAGCTTGTTACATTCAATTTTTGTCATACGAGATATATGTATATAACTTAACCTAGCTTCATTGACAAACCGTCTGATGGATAAATTTATTTTAACATATCTAAAGTTCCATTAATAAACGGATAGATAGAAGTGTAAGTTTTGTATTTGGACTTTAAAAATGAAATAGAAATACTTACTGCTCAATTTCACAGCGGAAATCTTCACCATTGCAATGTCATTGAGAAAGTAATTCCAGGATGGATGCATGGTCACATCAGTTGTGTCTATCCTTGTTCCTCCAGTGAAGATAGTAAGGGAGCCAAGAACAATGGTGAATTGTCTTGCTCGGACTTCTCCATCGAACCAGCAGTGGGCGGCTGTCAAGACTCTGGTGGTGGAAAGAAGACTGCCTCCACAGACTGACTCATGACCTGTCGTGAGTCTTGCTACAATGCCCACCTAGAAGAATAAAGGTGTATATCTCCATTGTGTTAATTAAAGGAATATGACTCGTAACATCACCTGTGTTAAGAGTCATATTGCTGAATTCCATAATTTAGGTACGTGAAAAATCTTATAGAATTTTGTTTTGTGCAAATAGTGGATTTAAGTATCAATGTGACTATTTGTTACTCCAAGCTATGTGTGTATATGATATTTTAAATATACTGTTATTCCGTGTTTATCGATTAATATTCGTAGTGTTGTTACAATTTACTTATAGTGTAACTCCGTGTTTCACTGGTTATTCGTATAATGGCATTGTAAAAACAAATCGTTACCTTTTGCTTGTAATTCGTTGTTTTAATTTTATTGGGTTATATTTACTTTTAATTGAGTTATATTCACATTGTTCTTAAATCAAATAGCAGAATTATTAAAAAAAAGTACCAACATTTTTTTAAATTTTTTATTGTTACCTACTAATAATTTAGTTTAAATTAAATAATAGTCTCATTTTTTCATAGCCGATTAATACCTACGTATTATAAAACCAAAATTTTAGAAGAAATAAATTATTGAAATTTGATGGGACTTTTCCAAAACTAAAACCAACTTACCTGATGAGGAATAGCTGTTGCTGCAGTGACGGCACTCCCACCAACAATCCTCATAGACTCCAGACTCGCAATCCTCTGTGCTTGAGGCACTCCGATCCTCATATGATATCCATACATAGGAGAATCAATACTAGCACCTAACGACGTCTGAATAATTACAAATAAACTAAATAATATTTTAATTAAACAATTGGCGGCCATCTTTGCTAATTAATTGTTTTGCTGTGACTTACTTGGAGTGTAAGTGAGCGTGGTTTTTGTACTTGCGGTGATTGAGTTGTTATCTTTGCGTAATATAGATTAGCAGTAAGGCTGCGTTTATATTTGTATTCTGTTTTTAAATATATTTTTTTAATTCTGTTTGAAGGATTATTCTTTTTTTTGTATGCTTCTTGATGTTTCATGCCTGTTGCAAGATAAATGTTTTTTTTCTCCACGACATATTATTATACTTTTCTCATGAATAAGAGTCCCGGGATGACTTGAAAGTAGTAGAGCTTTAGCTCAGTTCATTCACGTGAGTAAATTGTTCTCTTCTCACTTTTCCGTGTTCTTTCTTACTATTTATTTTTGTATTGTTAGTGATTTATCATTGGAAGTTACAATTTTATATTTTGTGTAGAACATAAGAAAAGATAACTTGCTTTAAAAAACCATAATACGGTATTTAGGTAATAAAATACTATTTTTGATTATCACGTTATTAGGTAATATTTTTCGGCAAAGTATTCATTATTAATTTACATTCGACTTATAGTGGCCACAAAAGAAGTAAAACAGCAACAACAATAATGCCCAACATAAAGCAAATATAAAAGATGCAGTTTGGTTCTATGTAGACGTAGCTTTGGATTTTGTCGAAATTTTAAGTAAAATCCATAATAAAAGGAAATCCCCGACTTTGGACATTTGTTTTAATTGCGATGCAATTAATAAAAGAACGATAAGTACATTTGTACGTATTATCATTATCATCTAAAAGACATCTACTGCTATGCGAAGACCTCCCCCTAAGTCTGGAAGACTTAGGGGGAGAGGGAGGTCTTGTCAATGTTTGGGAGAGTCATGCTTCGGAACGAATAGGCCGGCTCGACCAGAATGACAACACGGCGTCACAGCCGGCGTGAAGCAACACTTGGGTTGTGTTTCGCCGAGTCAGTGAGCAATGCTTCCGATCTCTCCCCATCCTCAATCCTCAAATCCTCTATCCTTAAATCCCTAATAAACCACAAGAGGCCGGCGATACTCTTATTTGGGACTACGAGTGGCCATGGGCGGTTCTGATTGCTTACCATCAGGTAATCCGTCTAATCGTTTGCCGACCAGTGACACAAAAAAACAACTATTCGGCATATAGATTCATTGGTTTCCAGTGACTCTTATGATGTTGTCGGTCCACCTAGTGGGAGATCTGCCCACGTGTCTTCCGGCCCTTGGTCACTACTTAAGCACCCTTTCTCACCCATTGGCGTCTGTCCTTTCAGCGATGTAGCTTGCAGATTTTAAGAGCTATGGCGGTAAAGCTGCTTCTTTGGCGGATTTCCACATTTCAGAAAACAATGAACGACATTTTCAACAGACATAGATGGGGTAGCCCTGGGAGGTGCGAGAGGGAGAATCAGGCTTTTATTGACTAATAACTAGGAACCTCGTTCCATCTCCTGCTCTAGGCTGAAGCTCCGGTACATATTGCGCTTGTTGCAAAAATTATATACCCTACTATTATTATAAATGTAAAAGTTTATTACAATGTATGGATGTAGCTATGTTCGTCATTCTTTTATGTAAAAATGGCTGTACGGATTTGGTTAAAATTTAGTTTGAAGGTAGGTGATATATACAATGTAACTGTGTTGTTTTACACCGGTATTCAGTGAGGCCGTGGTAATACTCCGGTCGAGCCAGCTCATTCGTGCCGAAGCATGGCTTTTCCACACTTGTAGTTAACTAAGTCGAAAATGTAGTTACTGATAAGGTCATGGGCATCAACAGGAAATGGTAGCTTCTTAAACGCATAGTCATTCTTGTCATTGTCAAATTAATGATCTGTCAATTACAATGTCGAAGCCATCATGATGAGGTTGCGTTACCCAAGGTCTCACTATCCATTCTTACGTACGTATTTTCATTAATGGAGTTTTTATTATATAATCTTATATTAATAAGGTCGAAAGTCTGTTGCAGGTCTTTTAATTTTCATAGCTGCATGTCCCTACTAGACATTGCAATGCCAATATAAGCTGAACTTTGATTGTGGGGGGGAAGGATTCAAAGCGAGACAATGGTTATCTGGTTATACGTAACTTGATCTGCGCGGTCCATACCTTAATTGTTTTATCAAACAAGATTGCATCACCTATTTATGACTCAATAGTTATAGATAGTATTATTTATTTTTTCCTTTTTGATATTTATTGATAGGTGCTTAAGATAATTATCTATTTAATAAATATTAATTAGCTACTGATTTAAGCCTATTAGCCTATATTGCTTGATATTGTGTGTGTGAGTGACATTGTGATTCAAATTTTGGTTTTGCAAAATTGAGGCAAGTTCATGTATGTTACTTTTGATTTTTATGTGTGGCGTGGTATGTGCGTCGTCTAGGTGAAGTGTCTGAATGACTGGCAGTGGTTGCGTGGGGCGTCCACAGCAACCACCACCAGACACTTATAATTTCTAATTGTAAGTTTGAAATCGCCAATCCAGTTTGAGCTAGCTTCCAGTGGAGCAAAGGGTGGCGGTGTGTCCTGCTTGGGCTTACATCGCCATGTCCTCAAGAAAGTGATGGGCGACGGCGACATCTCGCGTCCGGCCTTAGTCGAGGCCATGGTGCGGAACTGGGAAGCCGTATCTTCTTTCTGCGAATCAGTGATGCTTCCAAAGAAGCGAAGCGCTGCAGCAGGCGACAGCCTGGGCGTCAGGAATAGACCAACGATCTTCGACTACCGTGACCGTCACCGCTTCATGAACGCGGGTTTGCGATCGGCGAGCTAGGTTAGCTCACCGTCCGACACCGGAAGGGAGTGCGTAGTATAGCATTCCGGCCAATGTTAAGCCAGGGCTGCGCGCATTAACCGCTGCCTCGCCCTGGACGAGGAGAAAGAACGATGAGATTTTTTGTCAGTTGCAGTCTGTCTTCTGACACTCCCTCACACCATAACCTGGGCGGGAGAAGACATATAATGATTTTATCTTCACAAAAAAAAAACGGTTGAGCAAGCTTGGTAATGAATGCTCGATTACTCTCCGTGTGAGACGAGGCCTTTGCCCATCAGTAATTACTTTTGGGCTGATAATATGATAGATAGCTTTGGTAGCACTTAATGACCACCGAATCCATTCAGGAAAATTTACATAATAAAAGAAATATCAATTGATTTTGGAGAATCCCTAGATAAGCTAATGTTTAAGTGTTTATGTTAATCATTGATATTAATAGATAAGATTTTGTTTATTCCTAAGTGATACTTTATTTTTTACAATATTTTAAATCTGTTGTGACATGATGGTGTTAAAATTTGATTATCTTACTTTGTTTATAATGATCTGCATTTAATCATATCTCTTTACCTATTATTTTTTAAATCTTGCATGATTTGTAAATTGATAATTAAATCAATTGTATGGCTCATTTCCTATCCGACATTTTTTTCGTAACGATTAGGCTTCATCAAGGTCAGATCCCCAAATTCATCAGTTTTTTAAGCAATGGGAGGGAAACGAGCTGACGGCTCCTATTTTTGGTTAATCGTTACCAATTTTTGGCTTCATCAAGGTCAGATCCCCAAATTCAGCAGTTTTTTAAGGAATGGGAGGGAAACGAGTAGAGGGATCAACTGATGGTATGTGTTCAGCGCAAGACCATACACCTTCCTAGGAGTGACTTCCTTCCGCAAAACCAGGAGTTTTTTTTTAGAAAAATGTGTCGTGGGTACGTTTACAAACATACAATTTGACATGCATATTACACTCAAACCCGGAACAATAATTTGTGGATCACACAAAGAGTCGTTCCGTGCGATAATCGAACCCACGACACGTTGTGCGGCTGCCAGTTGCCTAGCTACTGCGCCAACCCTGCAGTCAAATTACAACACGACCTTATAAGGCGGAGATAGCTCGATTCTTCAGTATTAAATTACTATTTGTTTACGATTGAACTATTAGCGCTGCTTCGTAGCCTGGAGGTTCGAAACCTCAAGGTTTAGTCAACCCCACCCTCACGTTTGCCTTACCCTGGGCCGTAAAAGTTATTTGATGAGTTTACCCTCACAAAAAAGAAAAGGACTATTAGTTTTCTTGTGTTTTGGCTATTGATTTCCTTACTCTCAGAAGCATCTCAAGACTAAAAGTCTCTAGTATATGAACACGAGTATATCAGTAAACTCAGCACAATTGAAATTTTAATGCAAATTCAACTCAATCTCAAAATCCTTTTCGAAAATTCTCTTCTAATATTAAAACCTGTCATTTGGTTCATCTCTTTCTTGGTTCCGTACTAGTAATTAATCAGTTCTTCTTACCTTTACAAAGGCTAAGGCTTACTATTCACAAAGCGTTTAATTAGCTTCGTCATACCTTTGACACGAGCGACTTTTTGTGTCCCCAGGCTTGTTGAAATGTGATTAATTATGTTCAGGTTTAAGAGTGAATTTTGCGTGGCTAAAAATAGGGTGTCTTGTGTCTTTGTGTGGCTGTGTCAATTGGAATTGATGTTGTGGTCGTTAGTAAAGTATTGGTTCTTTTTGTCTTGAGAGTGTAATAAAAATTTAAGAAGGAATTTAGATTAGGTCTTGTTTACTCACAACAAGTTTAGACAAAGCATTTAGTATTTAATGTGGAGTTTAGTTTTAAGCAATCGCCGTCGCTCTTGGACGACCACGATGACGATGGCAATACCATAGGAGTTATGAGTATTTTGACGGCCTTTTGGGGATTAGGGTTCGGAGATGGATGAGGGAAAGAAAGATTGAGCCTCCGGTAAACTCATTCACGCGGTAAAACTCAACGCTGTGGTTGTTTCATGCTTTTTCTTAAGAGGCCTTCGTAACACTTCTAATTTCGTTAAAGTTTAGTTTTGCATTTATAATATTTGTTAAGATTATAGCTTAAAAACTTAAATTTGTACTTATGGTCGAAAAAAACATTTACTTTCACATAAGTATAGACAATTTTTCGAACTTATCATTATATCTTTTACATCCCCAAAAGTGAGGGAAGAAGGCGAGCATGTTATAAATCAAAATGGCCGCTCAAGTACTAAAG